GATTTGCAGCTTTCTCAATTTGCTCAAACAGCTGTTGTTCCTCGTCAATATTAACATTAGGTGGTTTATAACATATCCCAACCAATAGTTGGTTTCCCTTCTTTTCCCCCAAGCAGATATTTACCCATAAAGCTTCCACATTATCCTCCTCGCATTCCATTTGCTTAACATTTGGCTTTAAATCATGTTTGACATACAAACATACCCCACCACCCTTCTTGTTTTTCCTATCCTTCCTAAATAACATGTACCCATTTAAGTTAGCTGCCCAGTCATGTGTCTCATCCCACCATGTTTCAGTTATGCCTATTATATCATATTGTTTAGTGTATGCTAATGCCTCTAGTTCCCCCATTTTGTTATTTAGGCTCCTTGCATTAGTAAGCATACATTTAATATTATGCGCCACTTGTATATTTTGTGAATTTTCAACATTACACAGCTTCTCTGTTCTGAGCTTGCCCCTCCCCCCGTTTCCACCCCCCTTATACTGTGCTAAAGCCCATCTCCTTTCTGTCCTATCTCCATTTTGTAGATTGCTATGACCCTCCCCCCCTACTACTAGTTTAAAATCTCCTCCAACCTTCTAGCCATCCTATCCCCCAGCACTGCAGACCCTCTCCCGTTTAGGTGCAATCCATCACCACTATAAAGGTTGTACCCAATCGCAAAGTCGGCCCAGTGCTCTAAAAACCCAAAACCCTCCTTCCTGCACCAAGACTTAAGCCACGCATTGACCTCTCTAATCTCCCGCTGCCTTTCCACTGTAGCACGTGGCACAGGTAATATCTCAGAGAATACCACCTTGGAGGTCCTTTTCTTACGTTTGCTACCTAATTCCCTGAAATCATTCTTTAGGACCTTCCATCTTCCTCTTACTTTGTCATTGGTACCAACATGGACTATGACCGCTGGGTCATCCCCAGCCCCTCCCAATAATCCATCCACTCTGTCAGCAACATGCCGGACCCGAGCACCCGGGAGACAGCAAACTGTCCGGTTGAGACGATCAGAGCGGCAGATTGCCCTATCTGCTCTCCTAATGATAGAGTCCCCTACCACCACAACCTGTCTTGCCTTCCTTACATTTTGATCCCCACCCGTACTAGGGGGGTTGTTAGCTCGGCTGTTAGAAGTAACAGCTTCCTCTAATACAGCTACTCATGAGCTGATGCTCCCAACATCTTCCCTCAAACGGGCAAATCTGCTAGGTTGCACCAAATCAGGACTAGCTAGCCCTTTCCTCTTCCCTCCCCCCCTGCTTCCTCGCCCCACTGTCACCCAGCTACATGCCTGTTCCCCATCTGTATTATCTCCTCCCTCTCCACTACCTGTCCCCACTAAACTCTGCTCAGTGAGCAGTAGACTCCTCTCAAGATTATCAATCTCCCTCAATGTTGCGATTTGCTTCTCAAGATCTCCAATCTGAGCTTCCAGAGAAGCCACTCGCACACAACCATCACAGAGGTATGGACCCTGGATGGGTACATCCAGGCATCCATACATGCAACAAGATGTGCATTGAGTTAAACCAGCAATCTTGCTAACACTCATTTCCCCTTTAAACAGTAAATAAAAACAGTTACCTTGATAGTTTAAACCCCTTGTTAGTTTCACCTCCTGGTTTTCTAACTCCTACTTGAAAGAGTCTACTTAATAGAGGCTGCTTTCAAATAATGTGAGCAAGCTCAGTGAGTTAGGGGTGTGCCTTTATGGGGATACAAATCCCACACAGGTGTAATTAATAAACACCCCCCCAATCAATCAAGCAGCAGCACACAAAAAAGGGGGGGGAAACCAGAACACAAAAAAAAAAAAAGTTAATTTAAAAAAACAAAAATAAAAAACAAACCACTCTCCACAGTATACAAACCACTCTCCACAGTATACAAACCACTCTCCACAGTATACAAACCACTCCAAGTAACTCCTGGTTTTCTAACTCCTACTTGAAAGAGTCTACTTAATAGAGGCTGCTTTCAAATAATGTGAGCAAGCTCAGTGAGTTAGGGGTGTGCCTTTATGGGGATACAAATCCCACACAGGTGTAATTAATAAACACTCCCCCAATCAATCAAGCAACAGCACACAAAAAAAGGGGGGGAAACCAGAACACAGAAAAAAAAAAGTAAATTTAAAAAAACAAAAATAAGAAACAAACCACTCTCCACAGTATACAAACCACTCTCCACAGTATACAAACCACTCCAAGTAACTCCTGGTTTTCTAACTCCTACTTGAAAGAGTCTACTTAATAGAGGCTGCTTTCAAACTCCTAATAATTCCTTCAATGTGCTGCGCTTAAGCTGTGTGTACCAGCCTTCCATTCACTATACACCAGTGCCCAAGGGGTGATTCCGCCGCTGCCAACCAATTGTGGCAGTTTGTCAAGGTATCAATGCCATGGATACCCTTTTCCCATAATAATAATACGCCAATAATCCATAGGTTAAAATATCGCAGGTATCGGGGTGGAGCCTGAACGGGAACTGAGATGGCCGCATAGAGTGCGAGCTCCCGCACACAGGCACTACATACAGCTACTTACCCAGCCACGATCGGTGCGCGGACCCCTCGG